CAAATATCAAATCACTGATCAGGATCTGGATCAACCAAATCAAATGGGCCCTACATGGACAGGTATGTTTAACACAACAAAGTGTCTGTCCAATAAAATGCAAAATGCTAGTTCCGTCAATTTTTGTTTTGGGAAGAGTTCCATATATACAGACACCAGTAACTATTCCCTACAGTGCTCTATTAATAGCCGTCAGAAAGCAAAAATGTGTCCAGGAAAGTTCTATTTATGAGGGAAAATACCAAATCGTTTACCTAAGAAAAGACAATTTTTCAGACCACTATCATAGGGTTTGTGCACAGGGTGTCAAGTGGCATCTGTATATAAAACTCTTTCCTTTGTTTTCTATTTTCTATTTCTAGGCCGGAAGTGGCTGAGGGCTTCGAAAATCGCCTGAAGTTCAAGCACATTGATGTGGGAACCCACTAAGGACAAGTCCCACCAGCCGGAAATCTGATACGACTGGAGACTGGCACCCAAAGCGAGATTGGAAGCATCGGTGGTGATACCTATCTCGTGTTGAGGTGGAACAAAGGGAAGACCAGCAATAAGGTTAATTGGCCCTGGTTGACCACGACGACAGGTGATGGTAAATCAGGCCTGATAGACGAACCTATAACAATTGAGGGAATCTCTGCTCGGCCGGAAGATAGAAGGTGGAGCTGTTGAGGCCGAATGTAAAGCCGGCACCACGGGACGAGGTCGGTAAGGCTGGCCATCAGACCGAGTAAGTGGAGCCATGCCCTGGTGTTCGCTTGGCATTGTCCCCTGAATAGAGCGACACACTGCGTGAGATTGTCCACGCACTCGTCGGTGCGAGTAACAATGCCATGGTTCGAGTCGAGAACTGCCCCGAGGAAAGTCAGTGTTTGTAACGGGGTCAGTCTGGACTTCTTGTGGTTGACTAAGAAACCCAGGTGAGATGCAAGGTCGTACGTTGTCTTGGTTGCCAAGGCAGCCTCAACTTTGGAGCATCCGACTATCAACCAGTCGTCGAGGTACTGAAATATGAGCACGTCTGACCAGACGGCAGCACGCAGAACTCGTAGACCAGGTGACGGTATGAAAAGCGGAGGAACAGTCGTTCTTGTACATGAATGTCAATATGAAGGTAGGCGTCCTGTAAGTCGATGGACTACGCCCAAGTCAGGACGGGAAGTGATCGTAGGACGGTATGCAGCGTCTCCATTCTGAACTTCTTCGGTCTTATGAAAATGGTGAGTGGCTTTAAGTTCAGAATCTGCCTCCACTTCCCAGGTTCCTTCTTTGGGGTCAGAAAGAATGTTNGACATGAAGCCCTGGTGGTTTCCCGTTGGTTGCACCAGAACAATAGTGCACTTCTGCAGCAGCGTTGAGATCTCCGACTCCAGAGCATGTTACTGGGATTGATCTTTTGGAACTGGAGTCGGCCGGAAAGATACATCGGACGGTGGGGGACTCATAAATTCCAGATAGCAGTTGGTAAGTGAAGTGAGCTCCCATTCCTCTGAAGTACATGTAATTTCTCCCCCAGAACCCTGCGAAGTTGAGCAGGTGGCTGCCAATGGATTTGAATAGTCACCGATGCCAGCCCCCAGCATATCACTTGGGGTGCCGGGTCATAACACACTGAGGTCTTGGAGTACTGAGTGTGGTGTTTTTATACAAAAATGTGGCAAAGTGCCCAGACAGACGAAACAAATGGGTGACTTGCAAACATGGTAAATATAAATATCTATGTGAAAGCTGTAAACTGACTTGTCCCCGTGGTCAAATGAAAAAAAAAAGCGAGTCTTGTCACTGTGCTAGATTTTGTATACATGATAAATATAAATCACAGTGTAAAACGTGTAAACGTATTAAAATTGCTTAAAGTGACATATTTAATTTAACGTAAATTAACCCACGTTTCACAGTGAAATGTGGGTTAAAATGATATCTTTAAACAAATAATATTATATAAAATAAGACCTAAATAAAAATTGTACCAAACTTGCCTCAGGACAAACTCGTAATTTCTTATAATGTATTCAGATGGAAGAAGCCAGCGCTAAAAGCTTAAATGTGAAATTTTATAAATCATTATTCCTCCCAAAGAACACTACACGAGACTCGATTACATTACTGCTATCAAGCGTTATACCAGGTTATTTAAAAATCGGCCCACTAGAAACAAATCTTATCTCAAAGACTTGCTAAATTACACCGGCTGCAAGTTACTCCAACGGGTAGGAACCACAAGGTGCTCAAACCCTACTAAATACGAGCCATACAATCATATATCACCCTAGATAAATTTATTGAGGTCAACGTGCAAGAAATCACCAAGTTTAAAAACAACCTTGTTAACTATGAAATTATACCCACATAGTTTAACCAAGACCCTGAATTTTTTTAAGGAATTTTATCGCAGTACTATATATAACAAAATTACAGTGACACAAAATGTCTCCGACAATTTAACTCCAAACGGCGATGGCAAGTGCGGTTTTATTGATTACTTAGACCTGAAGAAACCAAAGAACAAGAAGTCTATGCAAGGGTAAAAATGTTTTCACCACTGCGACAACAAAATGCGAATGAAAACTCGTGAAAATAACATTTTTTTTAATTGCAAACGTAAGTAGGAAGACAAATAAAAATAAGCAGTGTAATGTGAGAAAAGGTTATTGAGAGATATTTTTGAAGACAGGAAAGACATCAGATTTCCACTGGACCACCAGTCTTATTAGATCAGCTGGTCCATCAACTTTTCTACTGGTCTCGGGCCAGCGGACCACCGTTAATTTTGACCCCTGGTGTCTAAGGGCAGCTCCAAGAAAGTTTTCTCCTCATGTTTTAAAACAACTTCACACCAACCCCATTTATAAAGTGTATTACGAACGTTTATAGAGTTAAACCACAGATGACGGTCTTGACTTCTCAGGATTCTCCTACACCGCTATCACAGATCCCTCGTATCGAAAAACAAAACAACCCGACAAGTAACGTCATTGGATATGAATATCCAGAACCAGAAAAAAAACTTGGTATACAAGGTCTCAACCCTTTCAACCTACACAAATTGAATTTTTTTATTTGTATAATTCAAACAATTTTCAAATGGGGCAAAAACAAATCTCGAGTAAGTTTGCTTTATATCACAGGAGAGAGCCAAGCGAACGGTGAAACAGTTTCTCACTATTGTTGGATCAAAGACGAATCGAGACTACTGTCATCACAGATTACCAAACACAACGGTAAAATCTATTGTTGCAGTCGTTGCAATTCACACTACAACAGAGAAGCTGATCGAAACAGACTCTTTGAAGAGTTCAAATGGCTTGATACCCCTCCCTGTTTTATTGAAATGCCAAAACACACCACAGATGGGTCCTCAACACTGTCTTTCACTAGCTACCAACACAAACAAAAAACACCATTTGTGATTTATGCAGATTTTGAATCGATCTTACAGCCAACAGGTGACAAAGCTCGCCCTCAAAAACACATCGCTTGTGGTGTTTATTACACAGTTGTTAGATGTGATGCAAGAACGATTGCTCAAAAGCTCTACAGAGGTCCAAAGGCTGCTCAAGTTTTTGTGGAGCAACTAATGTTGGAAGTCGAAAAGATCAATGACATCTTTGCAAACCCTGAACCCTTACAGCTCACATGCGATCAAGAACAGCAATTTAGACAAGCTAGAACCTTTTGGATCTGCAAAAAGAAATCTTTATAACAAATATCAATGCTGATGCGACAAACCAGAGATCTCACCGGACCCCAACGATAACCGATGTTTATGGTGTAACAAGAAATTTAGCAAAAACCCCAAGTGAGAGACCGCTGTCACGTGACAGGGACCTTTAGGGGTGCAACCCACGACAATTGTAACTTACAACTCAGAATAGCTCCCAACGAAACACAAATCCCAGTCGTGTTACACAATTTAGAAAATTACGACGCGCATCTCATTAGGCAAAGTGCAAGCCTATTTCAAGGTAATGAACAAACTGACAAGATCTTTTGCATTCCCCAAAACATCGAAAAGTATGTCTCGTTTTCTCTAGGCCAGCTTCGATTTATAAACTAGTTTCATTTTATGGCAACGTCGCTAGACAGGCTTGTAAAAGCGTGTCAAAAAACTCAAACTCAAAACTCAAATGGACCAAAGAGCAAGCGTGTGGTGAGCAAAGCTCCCTTCTTTTACAAAAGGGGATCTGTCTCTACGAATACATGGAATCGTTTGAAAAGTTTAACGAAACGCTGCTACCACCCCGAGTGCTTTTTATAGCAGTTTTTAAAAAAATAGCAAAACAAAAACAAAAAAAGCACAAGAAGTCTGGCAAAGCTTTACAAAAAAGCGTCAGCGAATCAGAATCAGCCCAAGAACAACATGTCTGGCAAAGCTTTACAAAATAGCATCAGCGAATCAGAATACACCCAAGCAAAACAAGCCTGGCAAAGCTTTACAAAATAGCGTCAGTGAATCAGAATACACCCAAGCACAACAAGTCTGGCAGCTAGAGCTTTACAAAATAGCGTCAGTGAATCAGAACACACCCAAGAACAACAAATCTGGCAAAGCTAAACAAAATAGTGTCAGTGAATCAGAATACACCAATGAACAACAATCTAGCAAATCCAAACAAACTAGCGGCAGTGAATCAGAATACACCCAAGCACAACAAATCTAGCAAATCTAAACAAACTAGCGTCAGTGAATCAGAATACACCCAAGAACAACAATCTGGCAATGCTAAACAAATTAGTGTCAGTGAATCAGAATACACGCAAGAACAACAAATCTAGCAAATCTAAACAAACTAGCGTCAGTGAATCAGAATACACCCAAGAACAACAAGTCTGGCAAAGCTTTACAAAATAGCGTCAGTGAATCAGAATACATGTACACCCAAGAACAACAAGTCTGGCAAAGCTTTACAAAATAGTGTCAGTGAATCAGAGTACATCCAAGAACGAGTCTAGCAAAGCTTTACAAAATAATGTCAGTGAATCA